TGACCTGACGCGCAAATTCGCATTAAACCTTAGCTTAACGCTGGCTTATGGAACGCGGTAAGTACTGTTTCTTACTATGGAAGAATGCTAACTAAACGAAATATGGAAAGCGTCGAGGATGTGAAAGATTTGCATAGAGACCTAGTTATCTCTGAGATCATCTATATCGAAGAAGAGATATCGAAATTTCGAAACCCTACTAGCAACTATTCCAATTATATCCCGCTTCTTCGGCCTCTTAATACTGTTGCGGGGTGGCTCGGGCTGCAGAAGGGTTCACATATGGCAGACGTAGGGAAACGGCGGTACGCTTATCATCACGTCTTGCAGGAGAAACTAAAGAGAGATATCGCGGATGGTGTTGACCGTCCTTGTATTCAAGGAAACGTTCTGAAGGATCCAGAGAGTAAAGGCCTCACCGAGGGTGAGCTGCTCAGCATCGGACTTAGCATGCTCGCGGGCGCTGACACTACTAAACGATCGCTGATGTGGGCTATCCTGCTCCTCGCGCACCGCCCAGACATTCAGGAGAGGGCCTACAAGGAGATCACGGAGACAGAGGCCTACTTACTTGAGTCACCACATGTCGCGCACTCTAGGGTCGAGTACGTAGAAGCCTTCACGAAGGAAATCGGCCGCTATTTCGTAGTCCAGCGTCTTGCGCTACCGAAAGCCACATACTCGCACGTTCAGTGGAAAGGCGCTGTCATCCCCCCTAATACGCTACTGTTTCTGAACTCCTGGGCATGCACGCGAGGTGGGAAGTTGATCCCAATTGACCCTATGCGATATCAACTAACGACTTATGCGCCTAGATCCGTCCGTATTCTCGGATCCCGATGTATTTGCACCAGAGCGTTGGATGGACGGCGACCAGACAGCGAATCGACACCAGTATGCTTTTGGCATCGGAGGCCGAATGTGTATCGCAAGCCATGTTGCTACTAAGGCCCTCTACGCCGTATTCGTCCATCTCATCGCACACTTCCAAATCCTACCAGCGGAGGACACGATGGATCCCATTGTTGCGGATCCTATAGAGGGCCTCCTCACCCGGGAAAACCCCATCGCGGGACCGAAAGCTAGGACAGTGCGGTTTGTGCCGCGAAATGTCGATGCAACTCGACGGATGTTATCCTCGGAGTCTTAGGAGGTAATAACGTACATTAGGTATGAAGAGGGAGGGATTAGACCAAAGACGAATACAGATAGTAGGCTTGAGAAGTGTCAATATGTACAAGACTCCTAAAGAGAGTATAGTGGAGATAGTTCTGATATAAAAAATGCCTCTGCCAATTATGGATCTATGCACACTACCAGATTACGCCTTAGCATCTCGATATTCTATATCATAAGAGTAAGAAGATAGGCCAGGTAGGTAGACACCGAATAGGATATCACGTCTTAGTGCCATGCCGGCGTATGGAGACTATCTTCAATCTTGCCCCTAATAGTGGCCTCCGTTGCGTCCTCCAATAACTGTCCAAGCCTTTCATCAACTCTCCTGAACATCGCTGCACGGGTCTCAGTCAGCCATATTGTATTTGGATTGCGGAGACATTAAATAAAAATCTGAATAAGAGTAACGTACCATAGGCTTCATCTCTGATCCACTGCGTCTGCACGGCGCTGAGGTGAGCAGACAAGTTGTCCACGAATCGCTGCTGTGCACCCTCCTGCCTACCCATTAAATTCCACAGCGCTGTTGACTGCTCGAAGTCTTTCTCCGTTACCTCCGAGGAGAACACCACAGGCATTCCGCTTTCAGGGAGTGGACGATCGAGTCTACTTGCATTTCCTTTCGAAGTATTCCCGTCTACTCCGTCTCGACTATTGTTCCCAGGGCGAAGGAACTTAACCGGCTTTAGCTTCGTTCCCACGTAGTTAGGGTCACCTCCGTAATTGGAGGTAAAGTTCATGGAACCGTCCCGCTCGATCGGGCAGTAGACTTCGCTCTTTGGCGCGTTGGTGGGTAGGAACTGATAGTTCGCTCCGAGTCGGTAGCGAGCAGCGTCAGGATAGGCGAACATGCGAGCCTGTAGCATCGGGTCTGGACTTGGCTCAATTCCTGCTACCATATTACTCGGACTGAAAGCGGCCTGCTCAATTTCCGCAAACCAGTTCGATGGGTTTCTATCAAGAACCATACGGCCAACTTTGCGTCGCGGGTATTTACCGAGAGGCCAGGTCTTCGTCATGTCGAAAATGTCCACAGGCGCATCTCCAATATCTTCTGGACGTATGACTTGCACGTACATGTCCCACGAGGGGAAGTTGCCCGACCTGATTGAATGCTGGAGATCTTCAAGATGCCTATCGGGCTCGGACCCGGCTAGCTTAGCTCCCTCCTCGTCGGTGAAGTAGTGAATCCCCTGGTTTGTTAGAAAGTGGATTCGGACGTAACAGTACGAGCCGTCAGATCTAGTGAACTTGTACGTGTTTCCACTGTAGGCGTTCACATGTCGTGCTGATGATGGAAGACCTCGGTCCCCAAAGACGAACATCAAGGCATGGATACTCTCCTGGTTGTTGATGTGGAAATCCCAGAACATGTCCGAGCTGGCGACTATATACTCAATTAGCAACCATTCATTCGTACACGAAATGAAGACTTCTGTTGTTTATAATGAATAGCCATGCTGGGACTATTCTTTAGAAATTAAGGCTTGACTTACTATTAGTCCTAGGATCTCGTTTGTGACTACGGTTCAACGATGGGAACTTTGTCGGGTCTCGAACGAAGAAGACCGGCTATATCCATTTTGTTAGCACATTCAGGTAATCAGTGCAGGCGAGTAACGCTATACCTGATTATTGAACACAAAGTCTTGGTTCCCCTGCGCCGTCTTGAACTTCATAGCGAATCCTCGAAAGTCCCGTACGGTATCTGCAGATCCTCGCTCGGGGGCAACTGTAGAAATCCGGACAAGGACCTCAGTCTTCTTACCGATACCGGTTAAGAAGTCGGCATCCGTAAGATCAGATATATCATCTGTTACCTCAAAATACCCTCTGGCCCCGCCAGCTTTAGCATGTACGCTCCTCTCCGGGATTCTCTCCCGAGAGAAATGCGCCAGGTTTTCGATTAGCTGGGTTGATGTAAGCAGGACAAATCCACCACCGCTGCCGGTGCGTATTTGAGTCGAAGTGTCATTCTTCGCAAGGGGTTGACCCTCTGCGAGGGTATAGTATGGGGTTTCTGGAATTGTCTCCGATGCCATTATGAGTTTGTTTAACTCTTGTGAGTTTTGAGTTCAAGGTAACGAGGTCGACGAGTCTGTTTAAGTACTAGACAATAAGAGAACTTGATGTAAAAATACACTTTAGGGCTTGTGATTCTGATGCTGTGCGTTATATAGGTCCTGAGTTGCTGAAAGATGCTCTCCCCTAGAAGTCAGCCGTCTTCTCTTATACGTTTTTTCCTCAGGCCCTTAGTACCGCGGAGATAGCACTCATCACCACCGTATTGTATATGAGGTACGCATTCCATACTTACTGGCTTACTCTCACGGGTACAGCGAAATCTAGTAAATCCTATTCAGAGGTAATATCCATCCCCGAAGTCCGAATCGTCGTCGACTTGGTGTCGCGTACCCCTGTTCGGTGTTCCTCGGGCTTCGCTCGGAAAATAGGTGTAAAAGTATAAGCTACCTACCTAAGGTTAAGTATGGAGTTCCTTAGAGCTATCGACCATATCTCGGCATGTTCAGCATTTAACTATTTCAACAATTTGTATATTAGTTATTTATAAACGAATTTATACTTGAAGAACCTGTTATAGGTTATTCATCATTTTGATGAAATCATCAATCTTAAACCCAAATTCCCCACGGCGTTGTGAAAACACTTTGTGCTTAGCTGCTAACGCTATAACACAACATACAGGAATTGAGCCGGCTTAATCCGCATACTACGCCATAATTCCCGTAGCATAGAAAAGCTATATATCCGGGTGCTAGACCCCGAGTTAGACATGTATTAATCTTACGCCAAGAGGAAAGGGCGGCGTGTGTGGATAACTACTCCGAGGACCGGGATTCCGAGCTAAAAGCTCCGTACTGTCCCGCCCGGCCGACCTTCATCAGAAGTGGGGCAATGATCCTCCCGGCATACCGACCCATCAAGTTCCTTGGGCGGATTAAACTGAACTTTAGTTTCTGCGTATCATGCGTGGATGTATGCATATGTTGATATCTACTGGGAATAGAGGTATCTTAATTACCCCGGTTCCTTTTCCTGCGATAGGCTACAAAGAAAAAGTAGGTATCGGCAATTACGGTTGGCCTTTAACTCTCGTAGCAAATGAGTCACCCGAGGCTTATATTAGGAGATACCTATACACTTATGTAACACCTCCCTGTCTATCCTAGGATACGATGGTAAGCAGTTTAAATAATAGTCGTCCTATGTGTAAGCCCTTAGTGTAACGAACGTCAAGATATAATAACGAACCATTATCGTTACACTAGAATTAGCTGTCATGGAGCAGTAAGCCGATCACAACAAGATATGCACTCATCTTCATTATGGGCTAGAATAAACTCGCATTACTGCCACCTTGTTGCGTCCGGGCTAATCTTAGATGTAGCCGCTCCCGCGCGGCGAAATTCCATAAAGCTATTAATAGGGCTTATTGGTAATTGCTTCAAATTTTATATTGCGAGTTAATAGAGGAACCTGCCTCAACTATAGCTGGAGATATATAGGGATAAAGGGCGTTCGTCTTGTTCTCCGCATTGTGTTGAACGATTAGTTAGGTACCTAGGTTAGGTACCTACACTTATGTGTATAATAATGTCTACTATGAAGTTGAAAGATTTGGTTGAAAGATTTGTAGCTGAAGTCAAAAGACATATAATTCAATATTGGTATCTATCATGCCATCTAAGAGGAGTAAAAGCCTCGAATAGAAAATTGTTGTCGTCATTTAAACCATCCCGCTAAGCGCCAGAGTCCATATAGCCGTTTATGTTCGCGGAAACTACAATTCCAATATAAATTAATATTCATCGCTTCCGGAAGTTCTGAGGTGATTTCAATTGAATAAATGAAGATCACTAGCGACCACCATAGTCACTAGCATAACCAATCTGCTCACCGAAGTTTTGTTGCAGACCACCCTCTCCGAAACCGGTACCAGGGCCACTTACGTAGCCCGTATCGTCACCATCGTCGTAATCTGAGGCATCAAAGCTTGAGCGACCACTAAGCTCGTCTTCTACGTTACTCATATCACCCGGTTGGCCCCAGTTCATCTGCGCCAGTGCCGGGTACTGTGCTAATAAGGCAGCAGGTAAGGCATAGTTACCCGTCTCTATACCAGGATAAACATTAGGGTCCATGACCGGTTGTTGTTGAGCCATGTTTTGCGCTATGCTCTGCATTCGCTGTTCCTGCCACAGCCGTTGTCTCTCAAGCATTTCTTCGTCTAGCAATGGCTTGATACATATGCGGCCTGCTTCGGATCGGAAATGGCGACCCAGCGCATCCGCTCGGGCGAACCGCCTTCCACAGCCCCATTGGCCCCCGGCTTTGAGATCCCCTTTGCAGACAAATTTCTTTTCGCCTGAATGAAGTCCCTCGTGACGTTTACGGTCGTGTTGTCTAGCGAATGCCTTTCCACAAACCGTGCATACGAAGGGTCTTTCGTCAGTGTGGGTACGCAGATGGGATCGCAAATTGTATGCTCGGGTAAACCGCTTGGGGCAAAGGGTACATTGAAAAGTGGCAGGATGTTTCTGAATTCGCTTCGTTCCTCCATTGTCTTGAGCGGCTTGGTATTCCGGGTCTGCTAGGCGGAGCGCTATCACATTATTGGGGACCGCAGACATAGATTGACGCCTTCTAGAGATAGCATTGGCGCTACCTGACCGGTCACCAGGCGAAAGTGAACGAGTCGAGGACTCGGACCCGGAACGACTGCGGTTAGCCAAATCGGCGCCTAGGTGTGGCGACAGATTTCCAGGGGTATTAGGTCGTGAGAGGACAGCCCCTCCGCTATTAAAGGGGTCCGTAACTGCCCGCGGGCGGGATCGTGGGCGACCTGTATGTTTAATTAGGATAGAAATGCCTAACGTTATAAATAGGACTCACCTCTATCTGGTGGGGTTAGAGACTGCGCATCCATGGGCGGCTTCGGGGGCTCAAAGCTATTTTGTCGCGAATTAGGCGCAAAGTCGATATTTATAGACGGCGGGGCCATAGATTGAGCTATTAACGGGTCTATTGGTGCTTCTTGACACAAGGAAGGAAACTCTTCTGAGGGTTGAACAGGGTAGCCCATAGGAGGGTTAGGGTATCCCGTACTTAACAAGATGTTCGGACCTTGCTGACCAGCGTCAGGCATCTGTTGAGGGAGTATTCGAGGGGAGATAGCCGGGCTGTGCGATGGGCTGCGGCTATTTGGGTTGGGTCCTGTTATGCTAAAGTTACCTAACCCAACAACCCCATCGTAAAAGTCTTGCGGCCGCTGCATGGGCGAGTGGCCGTGCTCTGGGTGTTCGAAGCTATCGTGGCCTGTCAAATTTGGCGATGGGGCGGCTGACGATGCGTCCGAGTACTCTGACGGTGTCCTTCGATGTCCTTGGAACTGCGGTTGATTCCAATCCAACCGACCCGGCATAAAAGCCGCCTCGGGACCTAGTGACGCATGTCTTGAATGGCCAGGTGAAGGAAACTGATGTTGATTAAAAGATGGAGACTGATGTGCCGAACCTGGCTCTGGCTTTAGAAGATGCGGCGGAGTAGGCGAGTGGTGTGTCTGTGGGGACGTCATGTTCGTTAGATCGTTCGGGTCGAGAGATTGCGCATGTGTCTGAGACAAGTCGCCAAACAGAGGTGTACCAAACTGGTCACCGTGGGTAGATTGGGGGAATAGTGAGAAATCGCCGCTGGTGTTGAAATCCGGACCCAGGAGACTCTGGGAGAATGTGGGTTGGGACTGCGAGGTGAGAGATTGGGAGTAGTCTTGGTTGAGCCCGAATGATGTCGGATCAGCAATACCCTGATGATCGAAGGGCTGCGACTGTGATGTATTCAAAAACTGGTTGCTATCGTTGTTGCTAGGGTAAGTATTGAAGTCGGAAGTGAACTGAGGGCTCGCTGATGAGGGGTCTATGGCAATGCCGAGGCCGATCGATGATTCCGGGGACTGATATGGATGAGGCGAAGGAGAATGACTATTTCTTATATGAGGCTGTTGGTTTCCGGCAGACGGTGAACGGCCGCGAGCCGACCCTGCAGATTGGACAGCTTGTTGATCCATGGCGCGTAAGTTGTTTCTGTCTTTAGAAACCCCAAGTCTGGCAAGGTTGAATGCACTCGACCGCGAGTCTGCCTCACAGCGTGGCGCAGCGCGGATGCGTTTGAAGGGGGCTGTGTTAGGCGAGTCTGACCCGTTCTAAATACCGTTTTTGACGTACGATGTGGACCAAAAGGGACTCTTCTTTTAATTTAGACTGTTTAAGAGGATATTGTAAATGTGGGCGACACGATCCAGTCTGATATTATGAAGTCTTTGTTGAATTTGGTGCTGTACTGTGCAGTACAGTATGGTAGTATCTTTTTTTTTTTTTTTTTTTACCTCTGTCGAGGGTGAACGAAGACACACTGCAGGAACAGATGGGGGGGGGTGATGCGCCCGAGTTGCCTAGCTGGCTAGCAGCAAACCGCAACGTTTTGCTATAAGATCTGCGACTGTGATACCCTAGCTTGGCACTTCCTCTCCGAATAGCCAGACAAGCCAGGGGGACAGAAGAGTCGCTGTCTCGGGGTACGTGACGTGTCGCGCAGAATAGAAAACGCTCTTGTTGTTATACGGCGTATGAGGCAGTGTAAGTGACCGATAATAACAACAAGCCTACTACCTTAGAACGAGCCAAGTGCCTAAAGCGATTGATGTAATATGTTGGTGCCCCAAGCTATCCAGTCCAAATTATCTGCCGTTAATCGCCGTTGTTTCGTATCTTAAAATAATCCCTTCGAGAAACCTTCAAACCGATTCGACTGCGGGACGGGTGCTCTAGTGCTAGGTCTGTACCGCTGTCGTAGAATGAATACGATAATCACGGCGTGGAAGAGGCCTCTTTTTGGTGTTGCGACACTTTGACTAGGTGCTGACCGCGATAATTCTGGGACGACTCAAATTCGATAGGTTGGAGAGTGTTGAAGTCTTTGGGGGGTCTATTACAATAAGTTAGCCGGTTTGATTTTAAGGGACGACGACCGGCGTTGGCTAATAGACGTTGGACTCAGAGTAGGTGATGACAGGAAGTAATTGAAGCAGGTTAATTGGAACTTTGAAGGAGCGCAAGATGTAAGTAAGGTAATTAAGTCACACTTTCACTCGGTCGCAAGATGGTAAGGTATTGTAGCGGGCAGCACCAATCTCCCATTATCACCCCGCCCTATCGCCCCACCTGCCTTAAGATGCTATATCACCGGCGAATTCGTAGGTAGATACAGGTATGTTAGGTACCTTCTGAGGCACATAATTCTTTGATATATTATAGATAGTTAGGTACTCAAGTCCTTAACTTATAAGTTTGAATAAATGCGCAATCCCTTTCTAACATGATGTAGGAACTATACTTGAAAATAGATAGTTATGGATATTAATCTGCATAGTAAGGTAAGTAGGAGCTTGCAAAGACAATTCGAACAAGACGAAAAGGAACGAAATAGTATCTCCGAAACATGTATTCAGGCACCTACACTAGAGGCTAGCATAAGACATATGTACGAAGTAATTAGGCCGTAAGAAATAACATTACCTCATACATTAAAGAGGTACCTGTTATGCTCAACTAGCACGTGCAACGCTCTGCTGCTGTTTTTAATCATCCGGGGTCCACTCCCCTGACCTTAGGGCTGGCCTAGTACCTAAGGTACTTGTTTAGCAAAGCAACATCAGACGAGAAGGTACCTTGGTACCTAAGGTACTATCGCTAATAATATCTGCCTCGGATTTGCTTCCATATTCCGTACATGTACCAATATAGATATCCCCTAGCCTCATCAAGACGAATTGGCCTTTATACATTTACAGGGCATTTGAAAATTTGGATACGCATGAGAAGCTCGTTTACTATCCCATAGCCCACCTCGAATTGTTGGCTGTTCAAGTTAGGCAATCCGATACGAATAGATATGAATGTGCAGAAGGTGTGTATTCGCGAGTAGACGAGTAAACGAGGAGGACAAGACGGAGGTCATATTAGCTCCGCCAATCGCCCTGCATCGTTGCCAATCTAATTATTAGGCAACCATATTTCTCGAAGGGACCTCCCTTTTTCAAGGCGGTGAACGGGGTTCTTCTTGTTTCCAATTGTCTCAACAGAAGAAGACATTGGGTACCAATCTGGATATCGATCAGTCTCATTCGCTTTTATTCTAGGAGACGTCACCCCCTGACGGAATCCTTTTATGGTGACCTATTCCTGTCTTGGCAGAAGCGCCTACTATGTATGTAGGTATGTATGTATGTATTCAGCCCTGAGCTGCTTGATGTAAAGTTCGAGTGCATTGTCTCGAATCAAGTTACTATGTAAGAAGCCGGCTTGGTGCGCCATATGTACTATTGCATACATACACATACCTAACGCAATTTTACCTTTTTTACCTGTCAGCCCTATCACATATCTATTTACTAGGCACCTCTTAATATACATAGGTATGCTATACATGATTGTCGACCATTGAGAAGCCTTCTCTTCCCGCCCAGTGGAAGATCATGGCTGTGACGCCACAGGCACTAAGATGCTTCGCCGTCCTCGTATGCCGCGTTCCCGAACCATTCTGGAAGACATCCATTCATTTGGTGATCCACCTCTCCGCAAATCCAGATCCCATTTTACACGAAACGTCATCGCTCTGCTTACTATGAAACATAGCTGCTAGTCTAGCCGGCTCATGCGTTCAAGTACCATAATGTTGATACGAAACATCTAGCCAAGCGCCGAATTCCACCAACTGTTCGTCTTATTTTTAGATAATGCATAAATCTAGCCATATTACGCATTAACGTAGAACCACTCTTGGCAACTATCTCAAATAGTGAGGAGATACTCAGAAAGGCGTCAAAAAAGCTGGCGCCACTTTACTAACAATTATCCTGGTAGGTGCGCCACCTTTTTTGACGTCCTTCTGATACCTACTATAAGATATGTATTACCGTAGTAGACAATATGAAGATCCCAGAGACCTAAACGATGCATAATGCCAGCAATTCACATGTCGTCCTCCAAAAAGGCTTGATTGTCGGGGATTACCCGTACAAAGACCTAATCATGATTTAACATTTTTGTTAGGATGTCTAGTATTAAAGGGGTGCCGGAGAGGTAACTACCCCCTAAAAGTTAAACGGTAGGTATTATAACATTATATTATCTATTAAATATGAAGATACCACGAGAATTCTTACTATCTTTTCTCGACACACGAATTATCCTTGGAACTATCAGCAGGGGAAGAACGTTACAATTTGTACTTTAGAAGTCATGAAAGAATATTACAAGAAAAAAAGATAGCTTGAATGAACAACAACGTAAAGAACATAATTAATACTAGTACAGAGTTATGATATAGGAAGCTAGATATTATTAAGGATAATTGTCAAACTTGATAGGCCAGTCACTGTTCCTTTAAATTTAAAATTACTACCTACCTAGCAGTCTTCTCCTTCTAACCAACAATACCATAAATATTCAATTCAGTTTACACAGATCGCAGTGCGTTTACTGGTAGTAAATTTCTATAGATCATCAAGTAATAATTAAACTTTGGTTGAGGATTAACAACTAGGTATATAACCTACCTAGGTAATGAACCGTGATAAATATACTTTTATCCTTACAACTACAAGAATGACGGTTCCTGCCAATACTACTCCCGTTAAATACCTATAAAGATATATCTCGATCGTCTTTATACAGACTTAGCGATTTACTTCTATAGTATTATTCGGGAGGTGTTGTTGACATCTACTTGATAAAATGACTTGGACTTGACTTAAATTAGCGACATATCCCCGGCGTTGCTTATAGTACTTCATAAGCGCATTATGTGAGCATAATGTCCTCTAGGTATTTTGCGGTTACTAACATTTTATACTCAAGATAGGCTTTCTACGGGGAGAATGGGAGTCTTCCGAACCAACCAAACGAACCCCAATCAAATAGCTGAGCGAGTTTGTCAACTTACTGCGAGCCTATCATATAGACTGAAACTGTATCAAGTCATAATATCTGCTGTCGCATTGGCACATATCTTAGATAATCCCGAGGCGAGCCCGAGAAAGATCTATAAATCGCGAGGTAAGTCATAACAAGCCTTACGAGAAATTGAAATCGCAGTAAAGTCTCGAGTTTGGTAAATAGGTGGAAAGTAGAGATTAATCTAATCTATAAGGAGTTGAGATATGAACTTGGAAGAATGCAATCTTGGTATGCCTTCTACCTGAGTCCATTCTATGGGTATTTTTTTAATGTCTAGTCATTGCCATAAACCCGACCGGGGGACTGGTTCCCAACCAGCCCAAAAGCAAAACCTAACGCCATCCCAATGTGATGCTACATGTTAGCAGGCCAAATGATATAACCGAAACCGAGTGTACGCTTTTCTATGCCCGAGTCAATGATATTGAATGCAATAAGTCGTTAAGATACCTCGTAGGCACCTTTCAATAGATTTAGAGGACCTCTTCTCGCTCAAACCCTTCCGCCTTCAAGGTAGGTCGGGGCGGGCTCCGACTACCTTTGTACTCGCTGACGAAGGGGTTGGGATCATCATTCTGATTCAAGTTTGCCAAGGTATGGTTCACGCCTCGATGACCTGCCTCGTCTGCTCGGATATATAAGATAAGATCTTTCATCGTCCGCTTCCCCTCTGGCATATGCCAGTACTTCACAGCGATGTCAGGAACGACGAAATTCGGGTCGGACCATTTTGGAAGGTGACCGTCTTCGATTTGCTTGATGGCTAGCGTATACGTGTGTACGGCTTCTTCTTCTAGGTAGCCCACTGAAGGAAGGTTAATTTCTAATATAATAAAATAATGAGGCGTCTTACTTACCGAATCGATGTGTGATCTTCGGTGATATCAAGTAGGTCAGGAAAAGACCGTTAAAATAAACCCCCTGAGCACCAAGGAGTAGAAACTTCATAAACCAGCCTAACAAATATGTTAATGAATAAGACCAATATACTTCTTTAGGTGTTATGCCCACCTGGTTCGCACATCTTGATGAAAGTTAAGAGATGCATTCGTTCATTATAGCTTTCTTCGAGGAGAGTCTCAATCCAACCGTTGTCTCGCTTCAGCCGTCGGATACTATGGAGGTGCCTTAACATTCCCGCAACCATTCCAGGGACGCCAGCAATGGACTCGAGAAATAGGAATCGTAGCAGCCATTGGCTTTCTGTTAGGGGTTGGATCGTATCAACGGCAGTAGTCGGATTCGCTTTGTCCACTTTTTGGTTCTTTTTCATCCCCGTGAAGAAGTCCATTCCCCATCTACATGAACGCATAACCTTCCAGGCGACCCAGTCTCCCCAGGTCTTGGCTGGGCGGTGAGCGGGAACGACACTGAGCATTTCCTATAATTCAAGTTGACTAGTTAGCTGCTGGTTCTATATTTCCTTTTCGAAAAAGTGGGAACATATAGATAAAAGTCAAAAAATCATGGTTAAAGAACCAATCATGTCCGACTCAAAACAGTAAGAAGAAGAATATTACGACTAACCTCTTCAGTGTAGCCATGATGAGGCCATGCCGCTGGCGTGCGTCGAATGTTTTCTGTCTCCTTTGCTGGGAAGAAATCCTTAAAGTTCGTTACGGGCGTCGTGGAAAAGGCTCGTGAGCCTCCATTATGTTGGGCCGACGCGATAAGCCCAACGCGGATTCCTGTTGAATACCCAAGGGTAGAGCTGTGAAGTA